TAGCAGGCTGACTGCACTGTCTGAAAGCCATGAGTATAGCCTTCAGGATTATCATGACGCCACGGGTGTCAAAGCCATGGTGATCGATGATGGGGCAAAGATTAGCAGTTTGGATCAAACATAGACTAGATAGGCCGTATTGCAATGGAGTCAACAGTGCCTGCGCAGGGGCCAGGAGATGAACAGGCCTCGGTCAGGATTCCAGTTGGTAGGGCCACAGCCTGGGAATTGGATGCTGAGACAGCGGCCAACATTGAAAGCGATTTGGCCATTCTCAGCGATACATTTGGACTCTGTGCTCGAGCACAGATAGGTACGCGGGGCATGGAGTCGATCGTGCTGACTGGGCCGCCCAGGGCCATTGCCAAAGCTCGCCCAGAAGTTGGGCGAATCCTGAATTTCTATCGGCAAGGCAAACGGCCAGATCAACCCGCAGAAGGCATGGCTACATCTGATTCAGTCAGCGCAGAGACTCATGCCGCTGCAGGTTCCACGGCGCTTCAGCTTCCTGCTCACGTGAAAGATCTTCGACAGTTCCAATATCATGATCACACAGCTGACATCATTGTCCATGCGTGGGGTTCGGCGATGCCGGAAGCGTTCGCTCAGGTATGTGTTGGAATGTTCAACTACATGACTCCCCTGGACAAAGTACAGTTTGTCCGCTCAGTTGATGTTGAGGCAACGGGACATGATATGCTGGATCTACTGTATCACTTGCTGGATGAATTCCTCTATGTCTTCTCAACAGAGCTGCATATCAGCAGATGTATCGAGATCCTTTCTTTTGATGCGGACAAGCTAACTATTCGCGCAAGAGGCTACGGCGAAAAGATGGATTTAGCAAAGCACGAGCAGGGCACAGAAATCAAGGCAATCACCATGCACATGATGAAGATCCTCGATCCAGAGACCGTGCTGACGGAAGATGGCAAATCTGCCAGGCAGTTATCTGAGACAGACACTGCGTCGGAGTTCCCCTACGAAGTCTATGTGTTGCTGGACATTTGACAGATGCTGCTCACCGGTGCCAAACCTTGCCAAAGATGCAAGAATGCAATTGATAGGACTGCTGCAGCTGATTGTGAAGTAGAACGCTCATCCTCAAAAATGGCACTTTGAAACTCCGAGGCCTGTGGTTCCTATCCGGAGAAACGTACTTGTCAGAGTACTCGTCCAGAAATTTGTTTTCCCCGAAATGGTTAGATGATCAAATGTAAGCTTATTCCACGGCACAAAGGCACACCCCGCAGCCTTGGCCTAATTTCAGCGCTGCTTCCGACGCGGCAAAGTCCTGGGTTCCCTGCAAGCCCCAACGGATCCGCTCGTTGCGTCCGCACGTTTGCCTTCTCTCTTTTTTTGTGGCGAGGCCGACGAATGTTTCAGGAACGATGTCATAAGGGAGTTTGGGATGCACCCAAGGCCCAAAGCAACCGGAAAGCCCGCCGACGGAGTTTTCCACTTGGCTGCGGGTCAAAAATAGGCGAACCCCAAAATGGCTTGGTTTGGTAAATGGAACCAAGGACTAAAGCCTGCGGTCCAATTCCAGGTGGTTTCATTTTGAGCAATTTTGATCCGCTGGCCGAGCCTCGCGGCTTCGCGGCTCGGAGGCAGCGTGGAGCTCGCAGCGGAGCAGCCCATGGAGAGCTGGACGCATGTGGCGGTGCGGCTGCGGACAGTCGAGTTCGGGGGCACGGGCTGTGTGTGGAAAAAAAACGTGTAAATAACAACTAAAGTTCAAGAAGACATAAAAGGGTGTTAATAAACAACAACTAAAGGAACACCAAGAGACAAAAGGTGTTAATAAACAACAACTGAAGGAAAACCAACAGACTCTTGCCAGTTGTGAGATGTCAGGCCGGCCAAACCTACCCCAATCAAGCGCCCATTTCGGATTCCGATTCGATTCGCCAGGTCTTCAGCCAATCCGTTCTAGGAGAGCAGAGCACGCCAGCAGCTCAGGATGCGCACGCCAGAGGTTGTTTGGGTCAAAATCGATGGGTGCGGCTCGTCGGTTGTCGATTTGGCTCAAAGGAAACCAGAAGGAAAACCATCATTTTGGGGGGTTACTCTATTTTCACACATACCCGGATGCATTCCATGTTCACCAGTGCCATTCTTTTTTTCAAAAGAACATGTGGGAGCGCCTTCAGTTTGAACACCAAGTCGTAGGAACAAGTTTGTTCATATTCGCTGATTCTTATCAACTTCTTCCAAACAGAAAGGAGTGCCTGTGCCTGAAGGACACACATTCTTAGCTAAATCTCTCATGCGCAGGAAGCTCTGCATGTTCACCACTGTCACATGGAGTTGTCTTGACGTAGATCATCCATCTGACATGGGTGGGTTTGCCCTTGGTGCCCGTTTTCAAACGCTACAAAGGCTACCCTGATTGACTGCTATTGGGTTGGATCTTTAGAGTTAGCTTCTTGGGAAATCAAGGGGTTTTCACCTAAACCCCCAGAAAGTTAAACTTCTTGCAGGGGGGTCTACAGCAACCAAGCCTGAAAACAAACAAACACGGGAATCGTGTTTTCACGCGTGCAAAGCCAGCCGAGGCCGGCTTCTCTCCAGATCCACGACACGGATGGTCTGGTCGAAAACGCCCGGGTCTGAGGGTGGGGAAAGGCGTGCCGTGCCGGCAGAAGCATGTTCCCAAGGACTCCCCCAAAAAAGCAAGAACACTTCTGGTGCCCCAATAAGCCTTATTGGTCTCCATTAAGCCCTGATTGAAATTGGGGACTGGTATTGGGGAGTCCTTGACAATTTTAGGACATAACGCAGACTCTGATACGAGGAACTTTGCTGCTATTGAACTCGCGGGCGTTGTTGCCCACGTGAAATCGCAAGCTAGCCCTACAAATGTGGTTGACCGGCCAGCTGGCAAAGAGTCAGCGTCGTATGGCCCTTGGTCCATCGTCACATGCATACACGCCAACTTGACTGCTTACGCAGTGGCAGTGGCAATTGACAAATTGTTCACAGGCAAAAACCGTGGCATGCAGCTTGTGCATTTTGGACGCACGGCAAGGCACGGTGATTGCCAAGTGCTCCGGATGAACGGCGAAGTTCGGCCACCGAAGTCGCCACAAAGGTCTTGCAGTGCGACCGATTTCATGCCTGCCTTGCGGTGCCCCTTTTTGTCTCTAGCAGTGCCCCTTTTTGTCTCTTTCTCTATACCCCAATTTGCTAAAACCCGCATTTTCAGAGGCTTCAAATATGCGACTACCCCCAACCAAAAGCATGGGGGGAGGCTTCTTTTCCTCATCCCCCCCCTGCCTGGAGGTCTCTCCGCCTTCGTTGACGGGTCGAGGTGTCCTTTCCTGACCTGGACCTGGACCCAGGGCAGATTGGCGGCACCCTGTCCTGGCGCGGGCGCTCGGATCAGGGCCGATGGGCGCCCGGGCACCTCGTTTGACGGAAGCCGAAAGAAACACGGGCAAAGCGGACTACATGGGTTATGTTTCCCACGAGACAAATCGCGGCCGCTTTGCCGGCTAAGCCAATTTTTAAGGGACTCTGATCCCTGTTGTATCACCACATGAGCAATTCGCGCTTTTCAAATTGCAAGCGCAAAAACCAGGGGTTAAGAGCAGGCCCCAGTTTTCCCATGTCCTCTTCGGTTTCCTGTCCGGGGCTCATCTATTGTGATCATTCCCCTGCCATTTGGTTCAATGATTGCCACGGGGAATGAAAGCCAGGGTCTGCCGATGAAGAGTACATGACTCCTGCGGTTATGTAGTAAGTCCATTTGGGAGTAGGCACATGAGTGTGTCTTCAAATAGACCCCTGAAAGTGGAATCCCTTTTGTTTCCCTTCAAACCTGTGAACACGGCTCCCACAAAGGACACACCCAAAAAAACCCAGCCAAAAGCAGGCGCCTTTGGTGGGGGTTCTGATCGATCCCAGCTGGCTAGGGAGCACCCGCCGGACGGAGCCCTGGTCTGGGCCTCAGCTCCAGCGTTGCGTTTCCGGCTGACACCCGAGCTACTGTGGATGGGCGAAATCCTGCACCAAGAAATGCTGGAATGATGATTCCTTTGTAAATACCAACAAACAGCGGTTTCCATGATTTCAAAGTGGTGCAGGATTTCGTTCATGCACAGTATGACCTTGCGTTTGGTATTGACCTTTCTTTCCATTCTTTCCGTGGCCCCAAAATCTCAGACATCGCAACATGTGGTTCCCCCACTGACGCTTTTGAACATCGTTTCTGTCACATGCCCCAAAAAGGGTGGACGTTGAGTTGGACTGGGGTGCCCCCTATGTTGGTTGATTTGCAAGCAGTGATGTTGAAAGGGCAAGCGGTGAAAGAGGCACCGCTTTCAATGCGCGTTGCTTATGTTACTCTTCGGTGGCTGGTGAAACAAGGCACACATTACGTGAGGCATGTGGGTTGCCAAGACGGGTATGGTGGCCCAAAAAAAGCTCCCCCCTCATCCCTCCTTACATGGGAACCCAGGATGAACAACCTCCTGGTTTGATCAGGGTGGACGCCGGACTACATCCTGGGAGCATTCAGGTGGTCCTTTTAGTTCCCCTTAAAAATCATAGAAAAAGACACCTATTCACGAAAGCTGTAGCGGGAGTTCTCCAAGCTCAAACTGGCCCGACCCCCGCCACGAACATATTGTACTACATGTTTGCAGCTGAAGAATCTTTCGCATTAGGACCTGGTCATGGCTTTCTGGATCTTCATTTGAGCTTGTTATGCTGACAATATCTTGGCAATTGGGCCATTGGGTACATGTCATTGTTGGGCTGGCTAGCTTTCGTTCACCCTCCTCACTTTGAGAAACACCCACATGGGACGAGTGGCCAGGTCACCGGCTATGTGGTGCGCTTCAATGGCACCCGTTTCTGGGGGGGGGTGGGGGGTGGGGGGAGTGTGGGGTGGGGGGGGGGGGGGTTTTGGGGTTGTGGGGGGTGATTGGGTGTTTGGGGGGGGGGGAGGGGGTTTTTGGGGGGGTTGGGGTTGGGTGATTGTGTATGTGTTTGTGTTGTTTTGGTGTTTTTGTTTGGGGTGTTTTTGTTTGTTTATTTTTGTTTGTTTGTTTTGTTTTTTGTTTTTTTATTTTGTTTGTTGTTATGCTTTTGCTTTGTGTTTTTTTTTTTTTTTTTTTTTGTTTGTTTTGTTGTTTGTAATTTTTGTTTTTTTTTTTTTGTTGTTTTTAATGTTTTTTTTATGTTTCGAGTTTTTATTTTTTGTGTTTTTTTTTTTTTTGTTGTTTTTTTTTTTTTTTTTGTTTTTGTTTTTTTTGTTTTGTTTGATTTTTGTTTTTTCAATGGCACCCGTCTGTACGGCGCTCAAGCTTGGTTGGTTGTCAGGCAACTGTAAGCAGGGGTGGAGCTAAAAAGTGAGCGGCTTGGTTTGTGTGCAGGTTGGCTGGCTGGCTGTCTGGCTGGCTGCTTGGCTGGCTGGCTGGCTGGCTGGCTGGCTAGCTGGCTGGCTGGCTGGCTGGCTGGCTGGATGGCTGGTTGGTTGGTTGGTTGGTTGGTTGGTTGGGTCAGTCGGTCGGTCGGTCGTGGCCGTGAGTCGGTCGGTCGGTCGTGGCCGTGAGTCGGTCGGTTGGTTGGTTGGTGGGTCGTTGGCTGGTTGGTTAGTTGGTTGGTTGGTTGGCTGGTTGGTTGGTTGGTTGGTTCGTTGGTTCGTTGGGTCAGTCGGTCGGTCGGTCGGTTGGTTGGTTGGTCGGTTGGCCGTCAGTCGGTCGGTCGGTTGGTTGGTGGGTCGTTGGCTGGTTGGCTGGTTGGTTGGCTGGCTGGCTGGCTGACTGGCTGGCTGGTGGGTTGGTTGGTTGGTTGGTTGGTTGGTTCGTTGGTTCGTTGGTTCGTTGGTTCGTTGGGTCAGTCGGTCGGTCGGTCGGTTGGTTGGTCGGTTGGCCGTCAGTCGGTCGGTTGGTTGGTTGGTGGGTCGTTGGCTGGTTGGTTGGTTGGTTGGTTGGTTGGTTGGTTGGTTGGTTGGTTGGTTGGTTGGTTGGTTGGTTGGTTGGTTGGTTAGTTGGTTGGTTGGTTGGTTGGTTGGTTGGTTGGTTGGTTGGTTGGTTGGTTGGTTGGTTGGTTGGTTGGTTGGTTGGTTGGTTGGTTGGTTGGTTGGTTGGCACAGGCGTCGGGTCAGTCGGTCGGGTCGGTGGTTCGGGTTGGTTGGTTGGTTGGTTGGTTGGTTGGTTGGTTGGTTGGTTGGTTGGTTGGTTGGTTGGTTGGTTGGATGGTTGGTTGGTTGGTTGGTTGGTTGGTTGGTTGGTTGGTTGGTTGGTTGGTTGGTTGGTTGGTTGGTTGGTTGGTTGGTTGGTTGGTTGGTTGGTTGGTTGGTTGGTTGGTTGGTTGGTTGGTTGGTTGGTTGGTTGGTTGGGTTGGGTTGGTTGGTTGGTTGGTTGGTTGGTTGGTTGGTTGGTTCGTTGGTTGGTTGGTTGGTTGGTTGGTTGGTTGGTTGGTTGGTTGGTTGGTTGGTTGGTTGGTTGGTTGGTTGGTTGGTTGGTTGGGTTGGTTGGTTGGTTGGTTGGTTGGTTGGTTGGTTGGTTGGTTGGTTGGTTGGTTGGTTGGTTGGTTGGTTGGTTGGTTCGTTGGTTCGTTGGTTCGTTGGTTCGTTGGTTCGTTGGTTCGTTGGTTCGTTGGTTCGTTGGTTCGTTGGTTCGTTGGGTCGTTGGTTCGCTGGTTGGTTCGTTGGTTCGTTGGTTCGTTGGTTCGTTGGTTCGTTGGTTGGTTCGATGGTTCGTTGGGTCGTTGGCTGGTTGGTTGGTTGGTTGGTTGGTTGGTTGGTTGGTTGGTTGGTTGGTTGGTTGGTTGGTTGGTTGGTTGGTTGGTTGGTTGGTTGGTTCGTTGGTTCGTTGGTTTGTTGGTTCGTTGGTTCGTTGGTTGGTTGGTTGGTTGGTTGGTTGGTTCGTTGGTTCGTTGGTTGGTCGGTCGGTCGGTTGGTTGGTTGGTTGAGTGTGTTGGTTATGTTGGGTTGGGTTGGGTTGGGTTCGGTTCGGTTCGGTTTGGTTGGTTGGTTGCTCGTGCTTGGTGGGCTTGGGTTGGCTGAAAGCAGGACCTGGAGGGGTCCGTTTTTTGGCATATCCACATGAAGGAGCCAAGAACCGCAGTGAATCTTGGGCCGGCGACGTGCACGCTTTTCGACGGTTGCAAGTGTTTGTTTCAAAGTGTCTCTGAATTTGAGCACGGAACAACCTCACAAATGGGTGGTGGGTGTAAACTTGCATTTGGGTGATGTCCGCATGAGCCACAATCGAAACCTGCGCAGATGCGGGTTAGTAAGGGACAATCCCAACCATATATAGCTGCGGCCGCCTTCTTAATACTTTACATGGTTCTGGGTAGAGCATTTTAATTCCGGGTTTTGATTATGACTCACACGGTCCATTTCCAAGTCTTGCGAGGTTGGACTTTGCCAACGTGAGCGCCGACGTCACCAATGTCTCGGCCCGGCGCTTGGAGCCGAGCGCATCCGACCTTAGAAGACGACCGGTTTGCAGCCCGAATGGCTCCGAATTTTAAAAGGGAAGCCCCTCAACAATGGTGGCTTGTATTGATTTGTATTAGTTTGTATTGGTTTTGGGGTTTGAACTTTTTTGAAACCAAATGGCTATACTTTTCAATAGGATGTGGATGCACAGCAAACTTCGCCTGAGGTTCCAGCGGAGTTTGGCTTTGACTACGAGCACCCGGGGAGTTGTGGGGCTTGGCAGTGGCGACAGTGAGAGATGTTTCGGAGTTTGGCGGTTCAGGTTTGAACAAACATTGGGTGTTTCTCGAAATGAGGACCGTTCAGGCAGTGTATTTCCCTTGCTCATTTCTTTTAGAACCAACCGAAATGGAGCTGACCATGTTGTGGCAGAGGAACAACAGCCAGACTTGTTGCCAACTGCCAGTTTATTTCTTCAGCCTCAGCCGCCAGTGAAGCTGGGGGCATCATATTTCAAAGGGTTCGGGGCCCTCTCTGAGAGAGCTACTGTCAGAGGGAGGATCAACCAGAATCTTCCAAAGTTTCACATGCCCATTGAGACTAGTGAGTCGCCAGCTCAGTCTGGTTTCAAGCGAGGCCTCCTGTGTCCAGGTACTTCTTGATCTACAGCCAGTCCTCTCTGGCAGAAGCAACCACTCCACGCAGCCACACCATTGCCCGCGACCTCAGATTGCTCCAAACCAAGCAAAACGGACGCCCAGAAGCTTTGCCATCTTGTGACAGCTTAAGCTTCATCTTGGAAGGCTGCCTGTCAAGAGATAGCTCCTCAGCTTTGGCGTTGCCAAGTGCAGCCTGACGCCTTGAAAGGACGAATGGTTCGCCGAAGTGACAACCTGTCCGTGTCTTTTTCCGTGGGTTGCTTGCGTGGAGTGCAGCGCAGAAAGTGAAGACTCGGCCTGAGGTCGATGTGGATGCATCCGTGCTGAATCCACAATTCGTGGGCCAGGCGCGGGAGAACTGGTGCAGTGGAGGCTGAACGTTCGGAGGAAGCAAACACCTGCGTCGGGACGTCGGGGTTGACCTCCGGTATTTGCATTCGCCTCAAAGCCCCCTAGAGCTCCTGCAAGTTGACATTCTCCAGTTGGTGTCCCTTTATGACCTTATTGCTGTGTCTCACAGATTGTAGCCATCAGTGCTGTGGGGTAATTGCTGCCTTCCTTGGCTGCGCGCTTGCGGAAATGGGAGTGTGTCTCTTTCACCGGAGACTCTTGAGGAGGGTTCACATATGCGGCTCAGCAAGAGCATTCTCCATGCATCCCGAAGCCCACATTTGAATTGCCACAGAGGCCCCACTTTGCTCACCTCACCCCAAGAGCCCAAACCATCAACATCGAATCTGCTTTCCCTTGAGTATTGCGTCTGACCACGCAGGCCTTGCATCTCACTCATTCCACTCCCACCAACAACACCACTCTAACTCCACCGAACTCCCCGCCTAGAGCTGTGGAGCTCACCCCACTCAGTCCCCCCGCGTCCCCCGATCGAACCGCCGCTCGCTCGGGCCGCCATGCGCTGGGAAGCCGTGCACCTGCCCGGCGCGCCCCGCGCGGCGCTCTCCGCCGAGCTCCGCAGCGCGCTGCTGGCGGGGGGCGCGCTGCTGCCCGCCGCGGCTCGGAGAGATTTGGCTGTGGGTCAAAGCCGTTTTGGTACCAGTCTATTTTAGTGGGGATTGGGATGTTTACTGGGAGTACGGGCTTTTGACCCTTGGCCATTTTGGAAGTCAAGACAGTTGATTGCACACGGGCGCTGACAAGGTTTGGGAGCCTAGGTGCCTAGGTGCCTGGGTGCCTGGGTGGGTGGGTGGGTGGGTGGGTGGGTGGGTGGGTGGGTGGGTGGGTGGGTGGGTGGGTGGGTGGGTGGGTGGGTGGGTGGGTGGGTGGGTGAGTTGGGGGGTGGCGGAGTTATGCTGGATTCGGTAGTCACGCGGCTTGACAAGATCTTTGAAACTTTGAATCCCACTGTGGGGGTCTCAGGAAACTATGGCCATCCCTGAAACAGCTGCGGGCTCATGTGGCCAGAACCCAGCTTTGGGGAAGTCTCATGGAAAAGCTTAGCCTAGTTCCTTCCATTTGGGTGTGTCATTCTTTTAAAGAGGGGCCCTTTTTGGGGTTGGTGTACAGGGCAAGTAAAAGGACAGCTATCATTTTGGGGGTTTCCCTATCTTAAGACACACGTTTGAATTTTACTATCATCCACCAGCTAGCCCGACCGTCCGCCTGGCTAGCCAAGCAACCAGCTCATCACCCGAGGGATTCTGACCGAACTGTGCATGTTCACCCAGACAAACCAGTTCATTAAGGTTATCAATCCGTAGGAGGGGACTCAGTGTGTCTTGGTTGCGACTGCTAATCACAAGGGAGTGAAAGGGACTGAAGGGGACTGACTGAAAGGGACTGAAAGGGACTGAAAGGGACTGAAAGGGACTGAAAGGGACTGAAAGGGACTGAAAGGGACTGAAAGGGACTGAAAGGGACTGAAAGGGACTGAAAGGGACTGAAAGGGACTGAAAGGGACTGAGACTGAAGGCAAGTCGGAGCGAGGCAGCAACACATCAACTTGATAGCCAGAGCCGAGCTGCTCTACAGGATATGGCTTTGAATTTCAACGGGAGGTCCCCTCAAAAGTGAGAGGTCGTCATCAATCCCCGCCTGCATGCTGTCCACCAAGGTCCCAAACTCAAATTCCTACCTCGATTTCCTTAAGTTGAGGCTGCTGAACAAGCATCGTTGAGGTCGAGGAGCGTTTGCTACTGCGATGGCCGCCGTTGAAGCCCCGGCCGACTTCCCAATCCGCACGGACCGCGCGTTGGCGCGCGGAGGTGAGGAGGCAGTGGCAAGGCGGGGAGGTCGGTGGAGATATGTGGCCAGTACGGTGAGTGCTGGTGGACTGTTGCGGAGCGTTGTTTGGTTTACTCAGTTTCCTCTTTGCGTCGCATGCAATGTTTACGGAGCGAATGAGTTATGCTGAATAAGTGTGACTTGATCAGACGAACCTGATTTCACGAACGCCGATTCAGCTGGAAGCAAGCCGTTTTCCTTGTGACTTGCGCTAGTTTTCTCTTTTTCTCCGAGCCCCACACCTGCTTTTGGGGCCAAAAGGCAAACAGGTCAAACAACCGGCTTGGGTTTGGCACATGCCCCTATGGCTGAGGGGCCCTGCCCGCACACCCTTCAGGTGTGGCCCCAAGCCCAGCGCCGGCGCCGGCGCCGCCCGCGCCCGTCGGCCTTGCCTGGCAGGCCCGGGCTTTCCGCTGCCAGAGCGGTGCCTTTTTTCTCATTTTGGCCGGGTGGTTCCTTTCAAGATCTGCAGCATGTGTTGAGAGAATGGAGCATCTATTGGTCTGGGAGGTGTGCTGCCAGATTGGCCGCAGGTGCCGTCGGAGGCGGAGGTGCCACCGGAGGTGTCGGAGGTGGTGGCCACTGAGGCAGCCATGCGGGTAGGAAGCGCCCGCATGTGGGTAGATGTGCAGGACGCCCTTTTCCTGGAGCCACGAAAGGCTGCTTTTTTTTGGTCCAATGGCTGGCTCTGCCCGACAAACATGATCATACCGCCAAACTTGTTGTTCTCCGCTTCTTTGTTTTTCAATAGTGTATCGGCAAGTACGGGGTCTATGCAGCCAAATGCGGCAAAGAAGGCAAATGACAAGAACAACAGCCTTAGCGGTAAAAATGGGCCAACTTTGCCTTTAGCAAAAAGCAAGTGGCCTTTCGGGCCTCCAGGTTGATATAAGCCTCTACCTGGACAGTTGTCGAACAATCCAAAAGATATTTGGTAGGCCTGAGCCCTTTCTCAAAGTGCTCGGCTCTATTCTTCTGGCGAGCGCCTGTCACTGTGCCAATGAGGACCAATTGGTTGGGTGAACGGAAGCCAGACGCATATCAAGCAATAACCCAACAAATAAGGCCCCGGTGGTTTCGTCTCTGTTTCTCCAAACAAGAGGCTCGCCCAAATTTCGAGACAGACCCACGTTGTTCCCGAAGGATGGTGGGGTTCCTTCTTGTTTCCTTCAATAGATGCCTTCATTTCTGTTGCTTTGGTGGATGTTGCTTGGATGTTAGGACTTTATTCTTGAACCAACTAGTGAGTTTCCCATGAAACCACTAAAAGTTAAACTTTTAGCAGGGGAGCAGAAAGCAACCGAGATTGGACGGTGTTGAATCAGATGCCAAGCCGCCATGCCAACCAGGAACCACACGGATCCCCTCCGATCCCGATCTCTGCAGGTCGCTGATCCGGGGTGTGTGGATCTCTCGCAAAGCGCAGAGCCAGGCTTGTGCCGGGCTGTTTGAAGTGAACACACACACGCACAGACGTGGGCATGTCTTTGCTTGGCTCCCAGCCATCCAGTTCCTTAACTTTTTCGGATTTTGGTTGGTTTAGTGGCAGTTTTCTTAGCAGGGGATCTGAGGGCAGCCCAGATAGAAGAGGGTTACCTCCAACACTGATTTTGTGTTTCCGTTCGGTTTCATGTTGAGCCAACCTTAAAGCTCTCAAAAGGGAGCACTTTCACAAGCTGTCAGGAGCGCCTTATGCACACCTTGCTCTCAAGCCTTTGGAGGTGAAGCCACCATTCGGGTCATTTGAAGGATCTTTCGCCGGCCCAAGAGTGGGTCGCAAAGCGCAGCTTTTGATTCCCGCGGCGCTTGGGGGCAACTTGTCGGCTCATTTGACCAGAGCTTAAAGATCTGTTTGGGCCGCGCCTCTATTTAAAAAGTCACCCAAACCTACCAACCCCAACTTCAACTCCATCCCCCCAAACCTAGTCCCCAAACGAACACAAAAAGCGTTAGCCCAAAAGAGTTGACAAGCTTCAGTGATAGCCCACGAAAGCCGAAGGCCGACTCTTGGATCATGTGCCCGTCCTTTGAGTCCGTTCAACCTGGGACAGACTTCCCGCTTTGAAAATCCAAATGGACGGGGAATACCTTAATATTGTTCACTAAAGCGTCCCAAGTGAAAACTCATACCAAAATAGATTAGGGCTTGCAAAGATCCAATCGTTGGGCAGATTCCTGCTGCCTTTGTTTCAGCCCATTCTCATGGCGACTGACCGAGCGAGTAACGCATGATCTTACGACTGAGGATTCTTTTCTTTGTGTCGGGTGCCTTCTTTCAAGTTGGCAAATCATGTTACTTGGCGTAGATGAAAGGTTTCAAGGTCGGCTTAGGACTAGTTCATTGGAAGCCTGCCATGTGCCTTCTGCAGCCACTGCGTTGTGTTGTTCTGGAAATGATGCGCCCTGTGGAGCAATGTCCACATGGGCATGGAGGTTTGCGAGCACAGGATGTGTTTTTGGCGCTCACCAAACACGTCTTCGCTCCCTCGATTCCAGGGCCGGTGGTAGTCCGGTCCGCTTGGGAGCATTTCCATTGGGACGCCTAGTGCTTGGTGGTGCCCAGGATAAATCAGGCTGGTTGTTGATTGGGAGTGTCCCAGTTTTGTCACAGAGAACCATGCTTATGAGCTTCGGCTTGGGACTTTTCAACGAAAATGAGGGGGTTGCGCCTGAACCAATCAAAGGGCGTTTTCGGGCGCTTCCCTGAAAAGAAGATGCTCCAAGTGAATCTGAGTCCAACTGAATCTAATCAAAGGCTTAAAGGACGCTTCCCCAAAGAAAACACCATGCAACTGAATCTGAAATGGGGGGCGGAATCCAAAAGTCCGCAGCTGTGCAGGTCTGGCAAGTCTCGCTGCGCAGGCACTGCCAGACTTGGAGACAAGGGGGTGCCCCAAGCCGAAATGAGCTGCGGTCCCCTTTGGCTTTTCTTGGAAACAAGCCCGAAAAGGATGCTACAATCGGAAAACAGACACGCCACAAGGTTTTCATGAGTGAGCAATGGCCATTGCAAAGAGCCAATAGGCGTGACGGTTGTGAGCAAGATTTACAAGCTTTGCCGGGTCCAACTGGCAAGCCAGACCAAAAACTCCATTGGGAAGTGCACCTGGCCAAGGCCTGATTTATCGACACATCCAAATATGTGTATATAGGTGTTGTGACATGGTCAGCTAGGAAAGAATCTGTTTTTTCACCCCTGGTTGAGCTTTGTGGGGTCACCTCATTGCAAGCTGTGGGCCATGGGTATGTGTATGTGTCAAGCGGAAGCATGCCTCCTGGTTTTCTTTTAGGGTTCCCGAACGGCTCATTCCCCAAACTTTAAGAGTGATTCCCTACTGACCACCGGCAAGACAAATATGCGCAGGCGGAGTTTGCTCGGGAGATGGTGCAGCGCGTGCTGCGCAGGCGATGGGAATGGCCTGTTGGAGCAAAGCGCAGAACCCAAAAGAGGTATTCGAGGTTCGTCAACAATGCCGCCTATGTCAACAATGCAAGGCTCACCCAATCTTGCACCAAAACCAAGGACTCCCAGTGTTGCCACGTCCAGCAGGGGAAACAAGTGATTTTCACAAATCAGGCTCGGGCAAATGATGTTCAAACGCCCAACCCCTGGACCCAAAGGAGGAGGTTTGAATAGTAGTGGGTCGTACTCGTTTAAACAAGTGGGGCGCCCCAACCTGGTATGTAGCCCTTATAAAGGGGGTTGGCAACCTTTCGCAAAGGGGTACTTCCAGCCTTCGATCCAACGGAAAACCTAAGACAACACTAGGCCATGCCTTCTTTGGGGAACATGGCCTTGAGGGAAAGGGGAGTGGTGGGTTCTTCTTTAGAATGCATGACCATGACTACCAAAATCAAAAGGCCAAATGCTGCCGACTTCCACGATTGTCGGAAAGAAAGTTGTAAGCCCTGAACTGACTGGAAGTGACCATGTGGAGGTTGTTTCTCTTTAAGACCATTCGGAGGCTAATTTAGAGGATGCTAAACGGGCCCACCCAAGACATTGCCAGTTTGGGGGCCTTGCCCAGCTTTGGACCCAGCCGGGCAGTTGGTTTGACACTTCTCCACGGCTGAACCGGTTTGAAGTGACACCAACAGAAAACGCCATTTCTAGCGTCCTGCCTGCCGACTTTGGGGACCCCTGGTGTCTTTTCCATGTGGATGCCTTCACAGCGAGCACCACAGGGTGAACTGCTGTGAGCCTTGAATAGCATGGATAATGGCTCCTAGAGGCCTGATAAGCAGACGCTACCCGCTGGGAGATTTTGAGCATATTATACGTGCGCAGGGTTGGCAAGCTTCTGCGTGATGGTCTTTTGCCAGCCGTTGGGTTGAACACAGTCCGATGGATTCGGAGGCGCACCCTGCAGAGCGGCCTGGACCGCAGCGCCTGGCCGCGCCTGCGGGTGCCGGTGGACAGCCGCGCCTGGCCGAAGGCGTGGGCGGACGCCTGGCCCGAGGCCGGGTTCGGTCCGAAAGGGAGGGGGGGTCGGGGCTGATAGGGCTATAGCCGGATGCAACCAAGGTCACAGCACATTCCTTCACTCGACACACGCACTGTGTGCATTTTCGGGTCTTCGCGATTTTCACGCTTTTTTCGGCCTGCGTGGACACCCATCAATTCATCCAGGGGCCAGAGGTGCAAATTGATCTCGATTGGAGGGTTTTGGTCGCGGAGGCGCTGTCGCGCTGCATTGCAGACCTACGCCCCCAGGCGGGTTTCGCGGTTTTCGCACGTACGACACTGCCATATTTTTGTTTGTTTGGGCAGTCATCCGAAGACGACTGAGAAGGACCTTGCTCGGATGACTTGGCGGCGTTTGCGGCTTGGATCTTTCGATTTGAAGATGCATCCGTTGACCAGGGTTGAACACATTGCCCCTGCCGTTTTTGCGGAGAACATCGAGTTTGAGGCTTGCCCAATGGTGACATTGGATGAAGTACCTAGATTCAGACAGCTCATCTCTGGCTTTTCAGGGGTTATTACATTTCCCACCCAAACATTACGCCTTTTCTGGAAACCAAATAAGTGGCCGTGAAACTGCACTGTTTCCCTGCGAAGCGGTGCTCAGCACGGGCATGGTGTCATTAGCAGTGGTTCATGAACATCGCGTCCGCCGGAGCCAAAGCGGACCAAAATGGGAAACCAGCAGCAGTTCTCAGGGATGTTTTTTGGCCCATGGATTCCTTGCTCAAATCTCCACGTGTCCGCTCTTCAACCGGTTGAGATACCGATTCGCCGTTTGGAACCTGCAGCAAGCGGCAAGCATCATAGTTTACTTCTCGCAAGGGCAAGCTCTATCCTGAGTGGTTTCCCTCACCTGGAACCACTTCGTTCTCACCCTGGCCCCTGAACATTGGCTGATACGGGAATGCCATCCTTTGGGTGGTCAGCCTGGAATTTTCCACAGACGGCCCAAGCTCCCGGACTTCCACTCCGTTTCGATTTCCAGGGCCCGAGGCAGGCGGTGGAGGTGGTGGCGGTCCGAAGCATCGAGGAGGAGCTGCGGCTGATCTGCGGCTCCCGCGGCCAGGCGATTGAGATCCAAAAAAGCGAGTTGGTTTGCAGGGAATGCCGAAAGAAAACCACTTTATTTTTGTGAGGGCTACTTGTTTTTTCGTGCTTTGCGTTGGTTTAAAGGGAAAGCTGGAAGCAAACCAAACTTATTCTTTCTTTTTTTTGGGGGGGTGGTGGATGAATGCCTTTGTTCAATGATTCTGCGCAGTGGGATTCACATCCATGAATGTGGAAGGATGTGAAGGACCCCATGTCAACGTGATCAGAAACTGGGGGTGCTTCCTTCAACACACCATTTGGGGTGAGTTTGAGACGGATGGTGAGGTAACCACGCAAAATATGGGGTAACAATGCGTGCACGCCCCAGTCCGGGGTGAATACAGCACACTTTCAGCGATGTTATCCCAAATCCGGCGCTGTTACGCTGTGATTTTTTCGGCGGTGTTGCCATGTAAGCTCCAGTTTGAGAATGGTCAAGTACTCGGGCCAGTAAGGTTCGATGGAACTGAGCAAGCGAGACGTCCGCTCCGATCCCTCTGCCTTCTTTGCTAGCCAAGATGGGCGATCTCCTAAAGCGCGGGTGATTTCCCTCCTGCTTCCCTGTAAACAATAGCGCTATCCCCAGATGCGAGTCCGACATTTGCAGGTGCTTGGGCGCTCGCATGGGCATGCGCTGCCTGCCATTGGCAGCATGCGATGCCTGCAGTGGTATGGACGCTCAGCGCAAGTTCTTTTTGCGAAACCATTGCCTTTGCCTTGCAAAAGCTGGGCTCCAGCAAGCGGAAACAAACACGCCGCTATGACACTGCACTTTCCCCCGCACTTGGACTTATTCACTGGAGATATCAACCACTTAAGTGCCGTGGTCGAGCAACAAAATCCGCACGGCTGACTGGAGCCTTCGCTCAGGCGAGCTGGCGGCTGTTGCTGAGCACCTGGGAGAGGTGGGGTCTCCGGCCTTGGGACCATTTTAGAACGTGGACTTGTCCCAAAATATGGTAACCCCCAAAATGGCCAAGACCCACAGGTTCTCTGCCTGGCTTTATTGGGTTAGAAGGCCATGACTCTTAACTCTCCGGCTTGAGGCTGATTCTATTGCAATGCCATTGTAGATTCTACTTCCAGGATTTTGCTGCGAGCATTGAATTGCCCAGATCAATCAGCGATGCATCGGTCGTTGTTGCCCGGTTGCTAGCAGGAAAAGGTACTTTCCCACAAGGGCTTGCAGATCGCACGCTTAGATTCCAATAGCGAAACAGGAAGTATTGCTCGCATGCTTTTTCCGCTTTGGCATGCAGTCAGCGGACTTGCAAACATGTCTTGCCTACAACAGGGGGCCCTAGTTTTGGTTTGCCTCTGCACTCCCCAAATCATGTTCGGCAGATTCCAAAAGGACACAAACCAGCAAAACCCGTCATGACGCCACATCTTGCGTCATACATATTCCGGGTCATCTTTTCTCACGCTTCGTCCACGATTTCTCTTCAGCCTTCCCAAACGAAGCACGCCCACCTCAACCCCCCGACTTGCGCCCACCGCGAGAGCTGGCGAGGCCTCCGGCGCTTGCTGGGTGTTGGAGTTTGCCCTGGCGCCGCCGGCAGCGCCTCGGCGGGCGTCAGTTTTTTTGCTTCTTGCCTTTTCGTTTTGTTTCCTCCTTTGGTGTTTTTGGGGCGGGACCCCCGCAAGATGGTGTGAGCTCAAAATGTGTCGCCAAATTTTTGGGACGATGCAACATTTGAACCCCCCCAACAACAAAAAAACAAAAAGCAAACAAGGTCCCGAATGTTGCCCCACAATGTGACCCGATGTTTGTCCCACATGTTGCCCCAAGTTTTTGGCCCAAACGGGTCGTTTTTAAAATTCAATAAAAATAAATGGAAGGTACTTCTCCCCGTTCGCTTGAAAGGGGTTGGGAGAACCCTTGGCTTGTCGCCTATTGTTAGCATGTTGACGAGCCCGTGCGTGCACGCTGAAAGCTGAACAAGGCATGGTTTTGATGGAATTCGGTCGTTTGTCTCGTGACCTCAAGCTTGCGTCCGTCCAGTGTTTGCGAGCGTCAGCTTGGCCGTGCGGCTGCGCAAGCTCAAGCCGAAGGCCGTGCGCGCAAATGTTGAGGCGGCGGTGTGTCTACGTCCCTTTCTTGCGAGCGATTGTCAGGCGGCAGTTGTCAGGCGCACTGTGTGTCCCAGATTTCACCAAGTTTGTTTTCCGAAGTTTACCCAACATTTTTCGTGGAGGGTGTTGCCCTCAATTGTCTGACAAGAGTCAACTCTTTCAGCATGTTGCCAAAGGAGGGTGTTCTTTTTCGAGGGACCAAATAAAAGGGTGTTTATTATGTGTTAAAGTAGGGGTCCCCACCAGCAAGTTGGTTTTCCAATAAATAAATACCGGGCAGGGGAGTGGGCCGAGCATTTCTCCCAACCCGCCAGTGGGTTTAGAGACAGGAAGCCCCCGTAAAACCCGCTATGAAACAAAGGTGCCTCTTCTTCCGTTGGCCGAGAGCCCGTTGGGAGGTGTTCCAAAGGATCACACAACGGCGTGGTGAAACGCGCAAACATGTTCTGTTTTTGGTTGGTTTTGACATCATTCGGTGCTGATTCCTTTGGTTGGAGGTAGCCAGTTGAAATATTGTGAAATGAAACGCGGCAAATGCGAGCAGAACCCAGTCTCCCTACAATTGAATGGAGGATCCAATCCAGTCCGCGGATTTTCTCTCCACGTCCGCTTAGGACGACAAGGCGGCAGAAGACTTGGCGAAATCTATCCAGGGGCACTTAGCGCCGCTTCGGTGGAAGACGGGCAGGGGAGAGCGGTCTGAGCATTATATGAGGTCAAGAAGGTGAATGGAGGCAAATGATTTTGTCCAGACATGACTGGATGGGGAGGACCCCTTTTTGTTGAACAGCGCAGTTCCGCAGGGAAGGATCAAGATTTGATTCATGTATCTTTGCGCTGGTGTTCGTTCTTGGGAAGCTTCTTTTGACGTCAAGATGTGCGGTTAGGCTGGCCAAAGCCACACGTGTTCCTAGCCTGGGGTCGTGAACGGCTCGCCGCGATAAGCCTCTGACTTCTTGACAGCAACTCTGCGTGGAACAACCGCCAAGATTGGCACCTGAGCAGAGGCTTGCTTGATTTCACATTTCAGCCCCAGCCCAAACCTGAAATCAATCTGAATCAATGCTAATGAAATTGCTGAACGGTTGAAGTCAAGAAATCACCAAAAGCAACAGACTTGTTGAATTTGGCACAGAAGCGATCCATTTTGTGGGTCTAATTTTGAGACCCACCTCGTTTGAGGGGGCCAGACGTTCCGCACTTGCAAGCGGCCTTGTCCCACATTCACAACCAATCTGCCTCAAGGAAGAACATGAAGAACCTTTCAGCGCCCATGGCGCCGCCAAATGACGCACCCCCTTGCTCGCCCCCAAGAAAAACCAAGGAGCATAGTTTTGACCGGAAAACGGCCCGCATTGCTTGTGGGCCATGAGCCCATGGACCCATTGGGGACCCCATCCAAGGGCCCATTTTGCAGTGATTCAGCCATTTTGAAGTCTGGTCGCGCAAACCAGGGGTTCTCCTTTTGTCCGTAGCCTCCGAGCTGACGACTCCAAGGCGGCCGCTCTGCGCGACCACGAGGGAGCCCCGCATCGCTGCAGTGCACGGGGCCGTGGTGCACCGTGAGGCGGAGGTGTGGAGCCTGGGGCAGCTGGTGGGGGGCCCAGCGGGGGACGGGCCAGAGCGCGACTTGGAGTGATGGAACCCAAATTCATAGGCGGATTTCAGTGAATTGAGGATGAAGGGAATATTAATAAAACAGATTGATCAATTGCATTATGGGTGGGCTGAATGACCGATTTACGACCCTATATGCCAAGGGATTGAACAAAGGGACACCTTCCAAGAGGGCGTGCATACTTTTGCCGGGTTCCGGTTTCAGTTACAGAAGCTGAGCAGTCACAGAGGCAGATGAAAGGCGGATGGTGGAACTTTTGGTTTGGGCCTCTCTTGTTGGGTTCCACGTTTTGTTTTGTTTTTTTGCAGGAAAGTACTCTTCAACAAACACAGTGTTTGTTTGCTATGATGAAGCTTTCTGTATAGGTATCGCCCATTTTCGGTGAAGGATTCCAAGGACACGCGATGCCCGTGCAGTATATACACAGAGGCCCAAGTCCATAGTGAGTATACAAAGGGTACATGACCATTCTTGCGTGAAAAATACGTACCAAACTCTCCGTTTAATTCAAAGCATTCCCTCAGAATCAATCAGAAAGTAAGGTTCCCTTCAAGAAGTGGGTAAGTTTTGCATTTCAAACATCGTCAATTTGTCCTTGCAACACGAGGGGGAAGACCTCACCCAGGCCTGTCCTTTTTGTTTCGAGCTCCCCGAGACGCATGGCCACTTCTGTTTCTAGTTCCGGGGCCCGATACCAGGGATTGTCTCAAAGGAAGTCGAATCAAAACGGCATCCTAAACCCCAAACCCACCTGGTCACCTGGTTTCCTTCTGAATTCCCAACCAAAGGAGGTTCCCAAACAAAGACCCACAAGCCTGGGCCATTTTCTTTTCATTTCCCAGGCCAATGAAAGGGGGTTCCTCAAAAAAAAACACCCACCCCTGGGCCAACCAAAAGGCGTTCGTAAAGAAACCCCCCACCTGGTCTGAGCGCACGGCCGAGGTCCCTCGCCAGGTGAGCCGCATCTTCGCCTGGCCGCCGCGGCGGGACCTCACGCTGCCGCAGCGCGCGGTGCTGCGGGCCAATCCAAATGCCCAGTGGGCCCAGTGCCTCGGCCTGCCGGGGGGGGGGGGGATGGGGGATGGGTTTGGAATTGCCCGGGGGGATTTTTCGCTCGAATCAATGGTAGCCGCGACTTTTTTGGTTTCCGATTTCTCCCGGGCCACCAACAGGTTCTTGATGTGTTTTTCCCGGAGTCCTGTTTAACAGTCAGTGGTGGTGCGCTAACTTTGTAGGTTCTAAGTGGGGTAACAGGGGATGGTTCCCTCATAACCATGGTTGGTAATTACTTGCTGCTGGGTCCCGGTGGGGTTCTCAAGATTGCTTGTGCAGTGTTCTGTGGTTAAAAAACACCCCTTAGGGTTGGTAGTGCTTTATGAACATCATAGTTTTAGGCAAATCAACATGTTCTAAGGTGACCATGACTGACATAGGACTTGCAGCCATGTCCTTTCAGTTCGGTTCGGTTGAAAATGGGAATCCACTCTCAAAGGAGGTCTTGCTAAAAACAAGTTGGCAAGGAGCAGAACCTTTGACCTCAAACCTGATGTGAGATAGCTGCCGACACTGCAACACGGTGGGACTTTTCCAGGGGGCTTCCAACTGCGACCGCGATGGCTTTGCTCGAAAGCCGTCGCCAGGCCGCGGTGAGGTGACCCGCGGCGGAGCGTTTCACTGCGGAAGCCCTTCGCGAAGCGCGCGGCGAAGCCGCGGCTTCGGCGAAGCGTGCGGGCCGGAAACAAAGCGCGGCCGCAGAGCCGGGGGGGGGGAAGGCTAGGAGACAATTCTGGCAGAATGAGCTCACCGAGTCGGTTGGGAAATTCCAGAGCGGTTACCCATGAAGGCTAGGTGGGAAATCATTTGGAGTTGTACTTCGCCCAGATGTTGCGGAAGAACTTTGATGTTTTTAGTGTAGGATGGCCACTAAGTCAAGAGCTTGAAGCAAAGCGGTGAGAGTGGTGCCTGAAGGTTGCCCCGTGTGACGGGAATGAAAAAGCTGCCTGGGCCTTTACACCTCTCCTATTTGGCTCCATCAAACGGTTTTTCACGCATTCGGCATGAGGTCCTTGGTTGCATTGGCATTGGCAATGTGGCACATGTGTGTTTCTGAACATTTTGGACCCCATCCAGGTCGGTGGTTTTCTTTTGGTTTCCATTTAAAGCCAACTCAAAGGGGTTCCCTATTTTGGTTGAAACACCCACATGAATGACTTTCGAAAGGGGCCCTTTTTGGTCTCCCCTTTAAAAGGCGGCACCTTTCGGCACCGGGTACTACAAGGGTCCCAAACATTTTTGAGAAGAGGTGTTTTGGTTTCCCTTTCAGAAACCAAACCGACCACGGGGTTCCCTTGAAGCACCCGCCTGCGTCTCACGTCAGCCGTCCGCTTCAGAGGACTTGGACCTCCAGGACCTGCAGGGCGCATTCCGCTGGACCCACTCGCCGCACATCTGGGCCGTGGAGGCGGACGCGCGGATGCGGCGAGAGCGGATGCGGTAGAGCGGTGGGGTCACCGACAGCGGTTTGTATGGAAAAGGGAACCCATGGCTTCAGCTTCCGGGTGGTTTCCCTTTGAACCAAACCCCCCCCCCCCCAACTCCCCCCCCCAAAAAAAAAATGAATAAGTAAGCAAAAACATGAGCTAGCCAAATACATAAACAGCGTCAACTTGTCGGTGCCTTTGCTTGATGTTGGTCATCAAGCCTTGAGGGCGTTTAGACAGATAATGTAGAGAATTCTATTAAGGGAGCCTTGTTTAATGGCCCTCAGATGCAGAGTTTTGACTATGGCACATATGCCATGTTCATCCTGAAGGGATGGAATGCACATTGTGTATATCATATATCTATATGTATACACATGTATATACATATCTTATCATCATTGACAGAGATAATAGTTATTATTTGCAACTTGGCGGTTCGGACTTCGGAGGGGATATCCCGGCTCCTTTGCAATAGGTGGAGAAGCGCCCGGTATGTTCGTAGTGTCCGAATGGAAAGACGTGCTGCGAACCCATTGAAGTAACAGAGGCTGCTGCAGAATTATGCTTTTAACTTGCTCTTAGGGCCTGGTCATTGACTCACAGGGCTTCGGCTTGGACAGATGGGTTCGCAATGTCTGGCGTGTTGCCATTTTGGGGTTGATGACCGTTGTGTACATCTCGCGACTGGTTGCTAGGTGGTCCAGTCCGGAAGGCTGCGCAGGTTTGGGTGGCGGCGTGCATTTGGTGGGACCCTTTGGCACAGACATGTTACCCTCCCACCAGCTAACATGGAAGTGCACAACCCCCCTTTTCGAAGGGAGGAAGGTAGTCTTTCTGCAGGGGTCTGTGCACTTCCACATGAGTCAGCTGCAAGTGGCCACCTGATTTGCTCTGGCTTTGGTTCTAATTGGAGGGAAACCAAAAGGAGACCATCCACTTTGAGGGCTCTGCATTTGCCGCACATTTGAAGCCAGGACTACCACCTCTTCCTGGCACAGGGTGCAGCTGGCGAGAATCGATCGCAGGCTTGTGCAGCACGCGCACGCGATTTAAAGAGTCTGGGGCATCGGTTCTTGCAGCCTAGTCTTCCAGCACCACTTCATGTCTTATTGCTAGGAGATGGGCAAGAAGCCTTTTGTGCAGATTCACTGAGCGTTGCACAAAGAGTATGGATCAAAATTAAACCACCAGGGGACCGCAGGTTTTAGTCCAGGTTTCCATTTACCAGGGTTCCACTTGGGTACCTAATTTTGACCCCCAGCCAAATGGGGTTCCTGGCAAAAGAATGGCCTAAGAACACTCGCAGGTCGGCACAGCCATACCTGCCAGTCTCGCGGAAGGACGTGGGAGGGGGGAGGTTGCGATTCATGGCTTGTGATGGAGGCTGAAGCCGCAGGCCCTCTTTCCCTTTTGTTTAATTATTTCTTGATTGCTAGTGGGTTTAAGACTTTAGCTTTTTGGGAAATCAAGCAGTTGTCCACTAAACTCACAAAAAGTTAAACTTTTTGGAGAGGGGTCAACAGCAACCAAGATTTGGTCCATGTTGCCCACATGTGCACCTGTCCCCTTTCCCTCCTTCCCTCACAGGAGCCGTGCCGAACGGCACGGCACGTTCCGCTTGGACCCACTTCTGCCTCTACGCGCGGAGCGCTTTGGCGGAGCAGAGCACCCCGGTGGCCTTGTCCCTCGAGGATGCCGCCGCCAAGTTCCAGGTGCAGCTCGGCGAAGCGGAGTTCGTTGCTGCGGATCTGCTGGGCACGGCTCGTTTTTGGCGAAGCCTGTTGGAGGCTTAAGGGAAACCAAAGGGCACGGGTTCGGTGGGAGGAAAGTTCCGAACTACAACAATTGGTTTCCTTACGAGATTTCAAAGGGTTCATTGAGGACCAACCTGTCCTTCACAGACGAAGACTTGGACGGCGGAGAGATCGCCAACTCGCTCACCTGGGACACCCCAGAGGCAAGGCTTTTGGTCGAACTGTCTCCACCAGGGTATGTGTCAAGATAGGGGACCCCAAAAGGGATGGATGCCCTTGTATGGCTTGACAATTCCAACAAAAATCCTACGATTCACCCTTAGACAAACCAAATCAAAGTCTTTGGACACCACAAAAAGGGTATCTGGAATTGAACATCTCAGATGAGAAATGCCGAAATACCCAAAAATGAGGGTCAAAAACACATTAGCAACATTTTTGCCGAGGTGCTGGATACCCTGGTGGACTTCCAGATCTACTTGGCGGGCTCCCAAGTCCCAGGGGACTCCTCGAAGCTGGGGGTGGCGGATGCCATCTCCACGGACTTCTGGGTCTCGGAGGGCGCCTCGGCAGAAAAAGGCGGGGGTGAGGGAAAGGCCTGTGAAGTATTGGTGTGTGCTTTCGGGGACACGCGAAAATGATGGCTTTCCATTTAAAGCCCCTCAAAAAAGAAGACAGGCCCATGTTTAAGCACCAATTGTTAAACCCATCCTTCTTTTGGCTTCCCTTCAAGATGGTATTGCTTTTCAGATTTTGCGGGCCCAACCCGGCGGGGAGATGGGGTAGGTTTTGACCCCCCTTCAACAGGCAAATGGAAAAGGGACCATGTCGAAAGGAGGCCCTTCCAAAAAGCAACATGGCCCACTTCCATTGTTGGGGTCCCTAAGTAAGTCGGCCCTTGTGATAGGGTTTGCGGTTGCTTCCCTTTTTAGGTTCCAAACAACCAGGGTGCCCCTCCCTCAGGGTGTACTTTTCAGGGGAGGTGGTTCGGGAGGGGTTGAGTGAGGGGTAGCTTTCAGCTTCTTGGAATGGAGGGTCATTGGCAATCAAGCGCAAACTGGTTTCGAAGTGGTCTGTTGCGTTAAGAGTTTGAACACGTGCTAATTATGACGGCCAGGCGTCTGGTTGTGGCACGCCCTATGTTTCAGAATGGCAACCCCCGTGGATGGTTTTGAAATGAACCCCGCAAGGAAGCTAGCCGACTGAAGGATTAGGTTGTCCAAGGAGAGAATTTTGAAAGAAAGCGGACCTTCAAAGAAAGCAGCTGCCAAAAACACTGTGTTGCTGTGCTCTCCCCATTCTTACCATGGATCTCATTCTTCCACTGAATGGGCCGAGCGCCAAGCGATGTTTGTCTCGGCCGAGCACCTTTCGAACTCTTCTAGGGAGCCCTCCGAACATTGGCGAGATTTTACAGGGATGGGTCCAATTTTGGCCGACCCAGGCCCCCCCCCCCCCCCCACCGGGTTTGCGGGCTGAGGGATGCGGGTTGCCGAGGTACCCCCATCGCCAACTTCTCGCAGATCGAGGCGCAACTTTACTCCGCGGCCTGCAATGTTACCACGGAGTGTTCTTGTTCGTTTGTTTGTTTGTTTGTTTGTCTGCTTGTTCGCTTGTTTGTTTGTTTGTTTGTTTGTTTGTTTGTTTGTTTGTTTGGTGCGACATTGTTTCGCCTTTCTGGTTAGAAATGGAGAGTGCGGTTTCAGTACTTTTTCCACAATGCCACCTGGGGATACTGTTGCAAACAAGATGTCTCAGAATCGGATGTGGGCTCAACCCTCATCGAGTGCAAGATTTGCAATTGGCTATGTGTGCTCCTGATCCTGGAACCAGCTTCGGAACTCCCGCCCCACTTTTGAGCTTCTTGGGTGAAGGTGGACATTTCACAAGCCTTCCGCCTTGTTTATCCCCTTTACCGTGCCCTTTGGTGGCCAAAGTTGATCTACTTTCGGCCCGGTTGGGGCCTCCCGACGAGGTCTTCTCGCGGTCCTCCCTCATGACGCAGTCGACCCCCTCGGCAGTGAATGTGACAGACCTGGACGAGAGCGCGAAAGCCTCAGAGCCTAAGAGGGTTTCACAATTGGGTCTCGTTGTTGGTTGGTTGGTTGGTTGGTTGGTTGGTTGACATGATTGCTGGTTTTCTTCTTCTTTTCCTTTGGTTGGTTTCTCTGTTTCCACCTCTTCTTCAGGGATTTGTTGGTTTTTTGGGTTCCTTGCAACGTCAACTCCAAGTGTCCATGGCTCAGGTCTCGAACGTCCGCTTCGAGGACTATGACTTGGACGCCCTGGATTTGGGTGGCGGGGTGCCGGACTCAGACGGAAAAAGGCCTCGTCGTTTTGGTTGAGTCGGTTTTGTTTTTGTATGGAGGGCACCCTGAAAACGAGGCTGGCAAGCTTTTGTTTCGTGTTTTTGCTTTTTGTATGGAGGGTACCCGAAAGACGGCTGGGCAAACCAAGGGCAAAAGTGAAATATCGAATTGTTTTGGGGGGGGGGAGTGCAA